TCTCTCTCTCTCTCTCTCTCTCTCTCTCTCTCACTCTCCCTGCATGTAAGTATGTTTGCGAGCGTGTGTTGCTGTGTCTATCTTTTTCTGTTCTTCACCATCATGCATGTCTATCCTTCTATCTATCTTCATGTGTGCTCTATATACTTTGTTTTTCTCCTTTAGTCGCCTTTACTCACAAAATGTTTTAAACACGTTCCAAATTCATACACAAGTTATAACACACCTTGAAGGGACAACAATGATGAACACATACCTAAAAATTCTCTTCGGGATTCAATTAAAAGTTTTGCTTCCTTGGTAGCTTGAAAACAAGCAAAAACAGACGATATACGTTATTTAAAGATTTGTGTGTTCGTGTAAATAGGGGGGGAGGGGGGGGGAGACAACAAAGGACTCCACATCAAAAAGACATTTGAAGATATTAACGAACTCTTAAAGCATTAGAAAGTGTAATTGTGAACTTTGAGTTTGATACCTACCATTGTATCATTCTTGTGAGCCGTGAGCTCTTCAGTTTCATATGTTAGTCTTAATTATCATATTTCAACACTTTTGAAAACATATGTGAATGTTCCCTGGTGTGAGTAAAAGAATAAAGATGGAAGTGATTTTTTTAAATATTATTATTTCTAAGATATAAAATGTTAACGCAATCTTCAGATTGCTGCGCAATAATACGATCGTTAAAACGCGCAGCGCAATCTTAAGATTGCACCGATCTGTAAATAGCACGGAACAAACAAAATCAGGGGCTAAATTAATTCTTAAAATGACCTTCGGGTTTGCTCCCTTAGTTTACGCTATGTAAGACGCATCATAATTTCCCTTGATCGCCCAATAACATTTCAGAGTCAGTTTGACGTTGAACCATGAACCTTTTTCGTTGTAAGTTCGTGGCTAATTACCTATCAGTGGTGGACTTCAATAACTCGAAAATAATAGGATGTTTAATACCTGCACTCGTTGTCAGATTGAAGTGAGAATGTTTGTCGCTATCATACTTTTTAAAATTCAAAAGTAAGGTCTTTATCTATGGGACATAAGTCACACCAACCCTTTGAATAGTGTTCAGTTAACTTAATGACCCAGAGTTGTAGTAGGACAAACATGTTAAATTAGTTGCCAGATAAAAAGAAACAACTGTCAAGAATGCTATGTTTACACTCTTAATGCGTTTGGTCGCTTTTTGAAGATAGTTGCTAAAACAATGCTGTCTTTGGTTCGTGTTAAGTGTTAAGATGTTTATGATTCATAAGAAACAAATTAATAATACATTGTGTTTTATGCCTTTCGTTTCAGAGCTTTGAAAATGTCGAATAAGAATGTAATGATCTGCAAATTCCGACGACCGTATGCTAGCATGAGGATGTTCTGCTTCCCATGGGCAGGCGGGGGTACGCTGCCCTACGTAGGCTGGGGCGCAGATATCACGGACGAAGTTGAGGGTAAGTAGGCTAGGCTAGTTTTTGCGAAAATGCGAAAATTAACAGAGGCAAACAATAGCTATGACGTCATCCTCAATATTTTTAAGAGGTTTCAAGCATCAGAAAAGCTTATTCAGGATCACAGATTTTATCGTGAGAGTGCTTATGTGAAAATATGAACACTTTAGTCAATACGCTGATTGAGCGAGAGAGAGGGCCGGATTGATTTAAAATTGCTTCTGTACGCACAAAACATGAACTATTTTCAAATTCCTTAAAGTGAGATTATATTTTACCATTTGATTTTCATTTTGAACTCCTAGAGTTTTTTATGATCACTCTGAATGATGCTGGGATGTGTTAATAATAACGTTAGAAAAATTAACTGCTACCTACCCTTAATGCTATGACACAACCCTTAAGACCACTTCCCTTTTGGCAAGGGCTCTCAGACAAATGCCTACTCAACAATAAATGATCACAAGAAAACCATTTGAAACAAATACTCTCGCGACTAGATTCAAGTACATGAACCCTCAAAACAAATGACATGTTCATTAGATGCTCAAATACGAGAACAAATTTCACGGAAAACTAAGGAAGGCAACAGCTGTTTATTAAAAGACATGACTTTTTAGACAAGTATGTAAGATAAACGGTACTACACAAATACCTGACATCACAGATTATGAAGATAAGGGTACGTGCCAAATTGATAATACTTAGTCCAAATGTCAATAGAAGTTAAATTAAAGGCTCACAAAAAAATTTTGAACACCAAGGTTTTCAGACAAAACGTGCTTGCAAAGCAAATGATAAGATAAAGTGCGCTTGTGCGACCCCTTGTTGTGGTGGTTGCTCAAAAACCCCTTGCAGTTGCCAAAAGGGAATTTTCTTTTAGCAGTCGATTCATCTGTATCAAAACAGGCAAACAAATAAAGACTTCAGAAGGGAAATACTATTTTGCCTTTTTCGCCCTGTATGCAACCACATGCCCATAGTGCAACCAGTTGTTAACCCTTGGTATAAGCAGCCTACCTGCGTGAAACATTATGTGACTTAAATGCAACCAGTTGTTCAAAGATACAGAAGAAATGGAATCAAAATAGAAATTATATAATTATATAATTTGCTTTTCAATAAACTACAAGACCCCTGGTGTCTTAGTATGAAAAAAAAATCAAACTTAAGTTAATAAGGCTGAAAATTTAAATAGTTGAAGTCCTTAGCGTGTAGAGAATCTACAGTCGCGTGATAGTATGCACATTAAGTACGTGTCAGTGCTCTTTCTTTCCAACAGAGATCACACACTAAGCAACAGCTTGTCAGTGTTCTGCAAAGCTAGGTCTTGGTGAAGTTGTAGAGAAGAGTGGTTTAATTATAATTATCTTTCCTCGCTGGTGCCATTAAATTTTGTTTTCTCCAAGAACGCATTTTTTATTAAGACCACACTGTGTGTGTGTGTGTGTATGTGTGTGTATATGTGTGTGTGTGTGTGTGTGTATGTGTGTGTGTGTGTGTGTGTGTGTAT